AGAAACTCAAGAATGTCATGCGCTTCCTAAAAAAAGTTCGACTAGGGAACATTCTATAAGACGAAATAATGATAAAATAGTTCGAATGATCGATTAAAAATTTCTAAGGAAATAAATTTAATCGATCCTTAAAATCTCATACAAGCTGAATAATCGTTCGAAGAATCTAACATAAGTCGCTTTCCATAATAATTATTACGTTTTACTGGAGCCAAAATTTTTTTGTCGCCATCAATCGAATAAGTAATGCTTTCATCGATCTACTAATTAAAACAGATCGACCTGAACCATGATGAATTTCATCACTACGAGAAATTTATCAATGAGAAGCTAGAATGTAGAAAGAAAGTTTTCAAAAGTATAAAATGTAAAAGTACTTCGAGTACTTAATAAATACCTGATTTTGTTAAGCATAAGTGTATTGAATAAGACTGCTACGCTATCATTAGTTTTGATTATTTTTACTCGGTGATTGGTAAGAATTTTTATTGTCTATGTTACTTATTACTTGCAAGAAACAACACCGACTATGAATCGATCTCTTCAACAACCCTCTAACTTCCATCAGACCATATCTTTGCCACTCCCCTCGTCCAAGCATTCTGCCACAGACCTATTCACCCAGCAGCTGTAAAAAATTGATAGAAAATATTAAATGTTTTTGGTAAACAGTATTTAAAACTTTTTGCAGACAATTATACATTTTGAGCGGACAGCCTTCTCCATCTCCTGATCGGAAACTCCGATTGTGGATATCGATGTGGTTTTTAGTGTGATTAAAAAGAAAGAGAGCATTCATAACTTCACTCTCATTCATACTATCATGGTTTCTTTTCATGTTATTTCCGAATTAGATCAGCTGATTGATAGGAATGACATTTTTTCAATTTCCACTGATAAATAATGGTCTAACTCAAATAAAGTTTAAACATCAGTAGGAAACGGTAGCTCGAACAAAATGGTCTCTTTTCTGAGTTTTCTTGATTTACAGCTCGAGAGAATAAAATTCTCAAAAAGCATCTATTCTTTATTGGTTTAAATTAAGTTTAAACAATAACATTAAATTGTTTTATTTTAAATGAATATATTTATAGCTAAAACAAAAAAAAACCTACTTTATATTAGCATCCATTGAATAATATGGATGTCAATAGTTTTTTTTTTATTTCTTTTTTGTTTAAATTAATCTATTTCGAAAGAAAGAGAGAAATGAGAAAAAAAATGATCCGTCAAACAAAATAGACGGAAGTATACCATTGTGTATGTCAGTATATAAAGACTGTATGAATATACAACAGAAATAAAAGAAAAACATGAGCGTTAATTCATTCGAAATTTTACCTAACGATATTCTTTATGAAATTTTTGCTTATTTGTCTCCAGTTGATATTCTTCAATCATTGTTTTTATTGACTAAACGTTTATCGAGAATCATATTAAATGAATATTTATGAAACATTCATATTGGTGATACAACAATGTCATTATTGATGTTTAATGATCAATGTGAAAATATCTTAAAATTAATAGGTAATCGGGTTGTCTCATTACGTCTAACATTAATTGATATTATTGATGGATGGTCACTCGTTTCATCTTATCTTCAGTATCATCAGATATCATTACTTCAACATTTACATCTGATTGGCATTGAACCACATGAATTTGATAAATTATTGCGTAATCACGTAATAAGACACGTACATACTTTATTAGTTGATGTGACACCATCTAGTTCGTTTAAATTTCTTCAAGTTGAAGGAGTTTATTTAGTTAAGGTAAGAATAGAACTACTACTTCGATTCACTATGGAATTCTGATCTTTTTTTTTCTATTAATAAAAACGTATTGATATAACGATATTTTAATTCTAATTGCTTTTAATTTATTAATAGGTGTGTTCAAGTATGCCTCTTCTAAAGATTTGTCGACTTTCTTTTGATCATATTTATAAGAATGTTAATCAAATAGAAAATGGTTCATTAGAATATGAAATAACTTTACCGAATTTATTAAATACAAAACATCTTCGTACATTGACTATTGGTATACATACATCACATTTTCTCGAGCGTTTACTATTATGTATACCATTCATTGAGAATCTTTCTTTCAGTGTAAATGATCGAGATAGTGATGAGTATGATACACATGATACAATCTTGTAAGTAACAACTATCATTGATAAAATTATCAATTATATGAATTTTATTTAGATTGCCTACTAGTATTGATACTCATCATCTTCGATATCTATCTCGTCTACGTATTAATTGTATGAATAGCATAAGTTTTCATCGAATTATTGCACTTTTATCATCTGTCTTCGGTCAACTTTGTCGTTTGTCATTAATATTAGAAGCATTTACATCAATATCTGATCCATTGATTATATCAGGTGACATTATTCAACAATTGTGTATTGATCGTCTCCAACCAACGGCAACTTATATTCTTAATCTATTATTATACGTTCTGGATGACTTTGAAGAAAAAATAATTTTCAATTCATTTTTTAAAGTTCCATTTATTCATCGACAGTTACCAAGAGTGTTCATTCAAGAACTTGATGATCGAGATTTCGGTTCT